ATTTAAAAGCCAACTGTATAAAAAATGAGATGTGATTAGTAAATTGGAATCACGTCCAGATTTAGTCTAACTGAGGTCTTTCTTCCTCCCTGTAGAATGGTAAGTCAGACTGGGCTGACAAAGAGTAGACATAGTTGATATTAAAAACTGGCAACATTTAAGAGCCCTATAAAACCTCAAAACAGGAGAAAGAACCCAATCTATGACGTGGCTGGAAGGCCCACTGGCATAGGTAATGTACCCAAAGATGACAAATATTTTGGCCACATGGATGCCTCTCTGTTCTCACTGAGGCAGGAATCTTGCCTTCCCTAGTCCATAATATACCACTTCTAATATTACTAACACTCAGGAATCAACTGATTTACAGTCCAAAGCAGGGTTCCCAGTCTTGTTTTTTTTTTTTTTGAGACATATAGGATGGATGATATTCATATACACAGTATATTCTCTAAAGCATCCTCAGATTTTGACAAAACACTCAAAAAATGAGCATGCTAATAATTCATTTTCATCATATACCATATTCATATTTGTCATATACTGAAGACTTCAGGCAGCATGAAGAGTGATAAGTCCAGCCCATTCTTGCCCATTCATAAAAGTATTTGGGAATGCAAATGACCAAGAGTGAGGGTCAGGAACAATATTGAACAATAATGAATTTTTTTGTATTTTTTTTTTTTTGGAAAAGAACAATATTGAATTTTTTTGTATTTATTTTTTTGGAAAAGAAACTGTTCATAAACTTTGGTATTTCAGCTCCTATAATAACAAATTACTTGCTACACACTGCTCAACTGCTCTGGACATACCATTGTGTCTTGACATCATAGTGGAGGACTCTTGGTCTAGGTCAGTATTCCAAACTCAGACCGTAGGTCCTGGGTGAAGGAAGGGAAATTTGGAATTATAGGAAGGGATCCATGAATCCATGGATACATCAAGCATTACAGCACTCTAAATAAATAGCCTGTCTTGTGTGTACATTACCACTTTTCAAATGTGCACAGGTTTATAAGAATTAATAAAGCTCAAATAATTTTAAAACTTTGCTGAATTCATAGTAGCTCTTTATCATTATATGTTTTTCCAATCAAGAATTATCAAAAGTACAATCTTAACATGGTTAGGGGCTACAGTAGAGAGTGTAGATTAAAAAAATCAAGGTTTCCAATGACATATAAAGGTCTATACTTTTAAGACAGGGAAGTGGACAAAGGACAGCAGCAGGAAATTAGGCCAGTGTTTTTCAAAGTGAGGTCACTGGACTACCAGCATGGAACTCTCTAGAAGTTGCTGGTCAAAATCTCTAGTGGTGGGGATCCTTCATGAGCTCTCTTAATGAGTCCAACTAAGTTTGAGAATCACAATCACTGGTTTAGAATGCACTACAAAAAATGCTTCTTTAACACACAAATAGTAGTGAGATATTACTAAGTATTCTCCAAGAGGTTTTAAAAGAAGAGAGAGAAATATGCTTGCCTGATGGCAGGACCATGCACAGATGACCCATCTCGAGGGACCATGATGTCCACTCCCAGACCATATTTTAGGCATTTTCTTGGTCACTGGAGTATATTGGAGACAAGGTTCAGAGGGGGCATGGGATTCCCCACATAGTTATAGTCTCTATGTTGTTTTCCAAAGCCCCCAGAGGGTTTGGAGGCTTGCAAACAGGAAGATGATGGGCTTTGCCAAAGTAACAATTAGATAATTAAATTATTCTGTTTATAGACTTTATAGAGATCTGAAAATACCACCCATCTTTCTCATGGAGGGACTACAGGAAGCTCTCCACAAAGAAAGATTTTAAAAAATGGCTTCTTGGCAATAGTTTTAGCTTAGAAATAGCTAAATTATTGATTAGAAAGAGGATGACTGTCAAATCTCTTCAAGACGCTATGACAATATCTAGGAACAATAATTCTTTTCTATAGGAATCTAAAAAACAAAAGCAAAAATAAACCCCCAAACACACAGACTTTTGAGAATTATTTAGGAGGCACTAAAAACTCCAAGTTAAAAATAGCTTTTACCAGACCCAAGGAAGAACAAGTAGAATCAGTGAATAACAACAAGAATCAACTTGTAAAAATCCTTTAAGTTGTGTCGCTGGGACAAAGATGGCAAGACAGTTTAGCGGTCAACTCCACAGTTCACAATCATGGTTAGGAGCACAGAACCTGAGATCAGATAGACAGACCTGCTATTTAATCCTAGCTTCACCCCTGAGCAGTTTGTGTGGGCTGGGCAAGTGACTGAAGTCTCTGAACCACAGTTTCCTCATCTGTAAAATGGGAATAATAACAGTGCCCTGCTCTGACTCTCTCTTACAGGTCATTAATGGTGAGGGTGAATCAAGTGAAAGCAGTCGGGCCACACTATCTGCACAGAGTAAGTCCTGATGCATGTTAACAATAATTGTTAACTCTATGTAGTCAACAATATTTGTACTGTAACTCTATTTCTACTACTTTTACTACAAACCAAAGATTTTCTGTAATGCCAAGATATTCAGGGCATTCAGAAAGAGATTTTTCTGGGGCGAGGGGAAGAGAGGTGTTTGCTCAAGAGCATTAAACTAGTGGATTTAAATTCTGCGTGTCCTTGGAGTCCATCCTGTGACATTAAACCTTCCCCAGGGACTCCCTCTGTTCCTGACTTCCCATAGCACATATTCCCCCATCCCAACATTTGCCAGCTCATTTTATTCTGTCTTAGATTTTCTTTCAATGGTTTCATGAGTACAAACTCCATCTCCCCAGCCAGACTGTAAATTTCTCCTGGGTTCAGTTCATACCATACTCCTTTTGCCCTATCTCTTAGAGCTTGACGTGCAGTGTGAACATGAGAGAGAAACAGAAGTAAGACTGTGTATATGTTTAGATGGCTCTCAGTACTCCTCCTCTCCCTCCTCCAAGTAACAACAATGATAATAATTAGATTAATAATAAACCCTCTGGCTTTTGAGGGTCCCTGGGCCTGGCACTGAACTGAGCTCTTTAAATACCTTCTCTCACTTGACCCTTGACCCTCGACAGCACCACAGGAATGAGCTGCTGAGAGAGCCATGAGCAGAACAGCAAAGCAAGGGCAGCTTTGCAAGCCCCGACCACTCACTCAGCCAAGTTCAGAATACATCGAGCAGGGTGTGGTTACTTCCAGGTCTTTGAATGAAAGATACCAACCCCATTTCCTTTTTTCCCCAACACAATCCAACTGATGGTTCCAGTGCCCCTTTGGTCATTTGGGCTCCCAAAGCAGAGACTCTTCTGGAGAGGAGGCGTGTACCTCTGGGAGGCAGAGTTTGAGCCCTGTCCCTACCACATGTTTCTGACATGTCCCTTCAAGGTTGACCACAACCTACAGTGAGAAATACATATTATACTGCAACTCAGACATATGTCCCAAAGATTTTTATGAAACAATGCTTATGTTCATGTGAGGCCTGCTGAGATTTTCCTATTCTATTTCATTCCTTCACTGAAAATGAGATATGAAGAAATCAGAACCCATATATATCACCAGTGGGAATGCAAAATGGCATAGTCTCTTTGGAAAACAATTGGGCAGTTCCTCAAAATCTTAAAAGTAGAGTAATCAAATGATCTAGAAATTCTACTCCTAGGTATATGTCCAAGAGAAATGAAAATGTACATCCGTACAAAAACCTGAACATGAATGTTCATAGCAGCATTATTCATAGTAGCCAAAAGGTAGAGAGAAACCGAATGCCCATCAACTGATGAGTGAATAAACAAAAGCAATGTATATCCATACAATGGAATATTATTTAGCCATAAACAAGAATAAAGTACTGACACATGCCACAGCATGTGAAACCATTATGCTAAATGAAAGAAGCCCAGTCACAAAACACTGCATACTGCATGATTTCATTTATAGGGATTGCCAAGAACAGGTAAATTTATAGAGATAGAAAGTAAATTAGTGGTTGCCACTCGGAGGGAAGGTGGGACAAATAAGGAGTGGGTATGGCTTTCTTTCTGGGGTGATGAAAATGTTCCAAAACTAAATTGTGGTAATGATTGCAAAACTCTGTGACTATATAGAATAACACTGAACTGTACACTTTAAAGTGGTGAATGATACAGTATGTGAATTATATCTCAATAAAGCTGTTTAAAAATGATGGCTGTGATCCACTTAATTGATTTCACAACTCCAAATGGGTCTCAACATGGTTGAAAATTACTGTTCTAGAGCATACTGCCCACCCCCCTGCCCCCGCCTGCGCCTGTCCTCTTCATGAGAATCATGACTTGACCTGGAGAGTTGGGGAGCCTGCAGTCTTTGGGTGGGCAGATGGACAGGCAGATGGAGAGGGGGTGAACGTGTGGAAGGAGGGGTGAGAACCATCTGTGGCAAAATAGCCATCATCCTTCTCCAGTTAAGGAATCCTGACTACACTTTCAGCAGCACATGCACAGCAAAAAGACCACATTGCTCAGTCTCTCCAACAGCTGGGTGGCCAACAGAGCCTTGGTGAGACGTCTAGAAGAGCTCTGGAAGGGGCTGACTCAGCCAGGATGGATGCTCCCTTTGGTCCCTCACCCCTTCTCTTCTCCTTGCCTTGATTCATTCAAACATGATGGCTCAATCTCTGGAAACCACCTCATGACCTTAGGAGTGGAGGGCAGTCCTAAGGCTGTCAAAGCAAAGGACATAAGGGGACTGGGTCCCTGATGCCTTCTTGAAGCCACCTGGGCTGCCGACCTCTGCACTTCTTTTATGTAACTGAATAAATCCCGAATTTGCTTATGTCACTGAGTCGTCTCTGGTATCAGCAGCCAAAGGAATTTCTAAATGATATGTCATCTAAACGAAAAAAAATTCCCCTCTATCATATATGAGCCAAGGATAGACCTTTCAAGAAATAGCAGCTACTCTCCCACCCAGGCCTTTCTGCCTCCCTTGCCTTCTGGAAGAACCTTTCCTTGAGTCCCAGGTCTGAAGGGAAATGAGAACCCAAATACCTTGTGATTTTAAATATCCGCAGCAGCCGGACACATCTCAGCACAGAGATGCCCAAGGGAGACATGATCTTGGTCTCCACCAGGATGGTCTCCAGGATGCCCCCGCACACGATGAAGCAGTCAAAGCGGTTGAAGAGGGACACAAAGTAGGCCTGCAGGCCTAGGCTGTACATCTTCAGCAGCATCTCTGCAGTGAAAAGGGCCAGCAGTGCCTTGTTGGCCGTGTCTGGTGGGGTCAGGCGAGGGGGCAGGATCCCAGCACGGGGGTGAGAGGAGGAGGAAGGCGGGAGGAGGAGAAAGAAAACAATTATCACTGCTGGAAAAAAAAGCACAGACGCTCCCTTTCCAGCCAGAACACCTCCCCTCTATGTTGCTGCCAGAACAGAACAATTGGGGCCAAATCGCCAGAAAAGGGGTATCTAGTTATAATCACAGTAAACATGATCTACCATGCATCAAAGGCTGTGTGTGCTGATCTTCTTTACTTCTTTATTAGCTGCTTTTTCAGAGATGAGGAGTGAGGTTCTGAGAGGTGAGTACTCTGCCCAAACCAATCAGCCAAAAAGGGGAGCCAGGCCACCCAAGTCCACTCTCTGCACTGGGAGACGGTCCACTTCCCAGGGTTCTGGAATGCAGCCCCCATGTCTGCTTGACTCCCTGGGAGTGGAGCTGAGGCACTGGCTAGGGAGGTCCTATTCTAGGGCTCCAGGGAAAGGCGGGGCTACTAACTGCCCACGGAGGACAGCTCCTCGTGCTCAGGCCATGACTGTCCTCTTTCCTGGCTTTTTGCTCACCTCATCCACACATGTTCTGGCAGGCCCACCTGCAGGCGACAGTAAGGCCTGAGGTATTGAAAACCCATTCTGGGAAGTTGGCAGCCAAGAGTCTGAGATAGCCAAACAAGGGGCAGCATGTGTCCTTGTCATCTGGACCCAAAAGCGACTGTTGGGGCAGGCAGACCGTGTGGGCCCAGCCAGGTGAACCACATCTCTTTATAATTAGGTGGTGCATTTTACTATGGGACCTGCAAGCTCGTCAGCCCTTGGCATCCCCAGCATGGCATCTGCCAAGAGCCAGGGACACTTTCCCTGCCAGGGTGGCTTTCTCGTCAACCTTGTGCCTGTGACTATTCCCTTCCTGGGATTCAGGGCCGAGTTGGCAAGAGTACAGAAGGATAGCGCCAGGGGCTTCCTCTCACCTTGCACCTCCGTGAGCCAGTGGGGCTGGTTGTAGTGTTCCGAGGCGATGGTGAGCGTGTTGAGGAACACCAGGAAGATCACAAGCCAGTAGAAGACATTAGACTTGACTGCGGCACGACACTTTCTTCTGCAGAACCGGTTCCACCGGCGCCAGTAGCGGCTGGAAAAGGAGCAAGGAGAGAAGGAAGGGGGCAGGGCGGAGGGCGCTGTGAAATCTGAAAGACACCATCATGGTTTCCTTTCTCCCCTCAGTGGACTTGGCCTCAGCAGAGCAGTGCCATGTGGTGGTGATGAGCTAAGCTTCCCGTCAAGTTAACCGGGCTCTGCCACTTACCTATGTGTGTGGCCCTGGCCCTTCTCAGCTTGGGTTCTCTCATTTGTAAAACAGGAATAGGGTCAAGCTCACAGGGTTGTTGTGGGGATTGACAAAATACCATATAATGCGTCTGGTATAAATACATATTTTTGATTTATAATAATGACATTATTCAAAATTGTATTGTACAACGTAAGAGTATTATTAGTAGTGATGATAGTAGTAGGACTAGTAATGGTTACCATTAATGAAACCTTATCCATGTCTGTTACCGTACTAGACACTTCTCATGCCTTCTCTTTAATTTAACCCTGCAAAGCAGGCATTACCCTGATATTCAGGAGGAGAAAACTAAGCCACAGAGGTTGAGTACCTTGACTGATATTACACAGTGGCAGAGCCAGACTTGGTTTTCCCCCTAGGCCAGATGCTGCCTCATCTGTAAAGTGTTATAGGTGAATCTGGATCAGAGGTTCTTTGCTTTTATGGGGTTATGGAACATTTTGAGAATCTCATGAATGTTTAGATACTTTGTTCAGAAAAAAACGCGCATACCCACACATACACACATCTCTATATACAAGTTCATGCAGCACATGGCCTCCTGAAACCTCGGCCGTGGTCCATATAATGTTCTTTTGGTCTCTTGTTGAGGGACTTATGTCAATGACTCTCAAACCTGGCTGTACATAAAATTACCTGGGGAAGCTTAAAAAAAATAACCATCAACCCTCACCAGTATCCAGACTCCAACTCCAAACCAACTAAATCTGATTCTCTGGGGGTTGGGTAGTTTTTAAAGCTCCCCAGGTGGTTCTAATCTATAACCATGGTTGAGAACCATTAAGCTAGATGATGCCAATTTTTAAATTCAATGGTGGAGGAGTTTACAGCTTCCAGTAGAAAACCAAACAACCAACAAAACAATTTCTAGATCAGGGGAAGTATGAGAAATGCTCTTTTGGCCATCTAGGCTGGAGATGATGAAGGCAGTAGCTTTATTAATGGAAAAGAGGACACTGAGTTGACAGTGTTATTTTGAGACAGAATCAATAGGACTTTGAGCCTGACTGGATGCACAGGGTAAGAGAGAAAGGTATGGAAGGGATGGCCAAAATTTCTAGCTGGAGTGATTTGGAAGAATGGCACCTCTAACTGCTATAGGTACAGACAAGGAGAAGCAGTGCTCTGGGCAGGGAGGTTGCTATGAGGAGAAAGGTGGGGCGCTCAGCTCAGGAAATAGGTTTGAGGTGCTTGCAGGTCATGTGTGTAGAGAGACCCAGCAGGGAACTGGAAGGCAGCGCCCCTGTTCGGGTAATAAAGAAGGCAGCGGGAGGAGCAAAACAGCATCTCAGAGCAACAGTCCATGAATATCTGTATTCAGGTTTGTATTCTAGGTTTGCAGAAATGCAGACCCCTGCTGCGATGGATCCCTCCACCCACCCCCAAAATGGCCTTTTGAGATAGCTTCACTTCATCTGTATTTTCACTCTGTATTTTCTACCTACTATCCGTGGAAAATCCTGTTACCAAACTTTTGTTAGCATCTATTATGAGATTAGAAACGTGAGAAGTACATCTAGGGAGAGAACTCTTTCCTCAGAACGGCAGGGATAACTTAGTTTTTGGCCTGCAGAACAGGGAGGGAAGAAAGAATTAATCAAATAGTGTTCTGATCTGACCCTAGCTCTTCGTGGGTGCTTGAATGCCATCTCCAGTGAGCGCTATCCCTTTGTTGGGGACACTTATCTGCCACTTGAGGCTAATTCACTACATAGAGAAGAAGTGCATCAGGGTCAGAAAATTAAGGTTTCCAAATGCTAGGGAAGCTTACCTTCCCCAACATACCACCTTGGGTAAGAGTGAGGATGGAGGAGGGTGAAGAGAGGGACAAAGGATGGGATAAGGGGTCTTAGTTGGTCCTCAGGCTCCTCTGCAGTTTGCCAGCTCTTGGTACTGAGGAGTCTTATCTCAACAGGGCAGGACACTGCTTCTTTCCTGTCATTGTGGTTATTAATACTATAGAGAAATTTGGTATGACTATTTTTTTCCTGAAAAATGAATTTTCAGGACAAACTCCTATCTGACCTTAAATAGCTTACATTGTAGTTTCAAAGGGTGTTTTAAATAGATACAATCTTTTGTTAGAGAAATCACGGATAATTGTTACTCAGAGTCCAAAGGAATGAAGTTTGCATTCCTTTACAGTATGTAGAAATGGACTCAGAGTCAGTTTAATACTGAGAACTTGATTAAGCTCCTCTTTTCCCAAGTTTGGGATGTGGGGTGCCACATGGTCAGGCCTGTCCCATGGGTCTTGGACTGCCTGACCCCCTGAAGGAGTGGCTGTCAGAGGCAGGGTGGTAGCTGTCAAATGTGCTGTTCCTGTGCACAGCCATTCAGGGGAGTCACATGGATTTGGGCTGGGGTGGGGGTGGGGGTAATTACTATCCAGAGAAAGTATTTAAAGATAATTATACACCTCCCACTCTTCAAAATATAGCTTTGCTTGACAACTGGTTTCCTGGCAACGCTTCCTACGGTATAATAAATGTAATGATTTATTAGAATGTGTAAATGTATTTGTGTGTTTACATATGCATGGAGGATACAGAAATTAAATGATAAAATAGGGAGGAGAAATTTGCCTGCTATTCATGTTCCCTTCATACTAACTAGAAAAGTCATTTACTCTAGAAATAGAAGTTCCCATATGTAGACATAGGACAGAAGGGCGGATATGAAATGTGCCTAATCTACTTCTTCGAAATTCTATATTGTTGCAGTCCCATGGGAAATTTCTGCTCAATTTACCCTGGGATCCACCTTACCTCTTCTTAAGTCTGGGCTTTGCTCTTGCCTTTCCACCTATGTGGACTGTCCCCAAACTGTCAGGACCTCCCCTTTCTATGTCCTGCCCACTTTTTTTTTTTTTTTTAAGATTTTATTTATTTATTTGACAGAGAGAGACACAGCGAGAGGGAACACAAGCAGGGGGAGTGGGAGAGGGAGAAGCA